AGAGAGAGAGAGAGAGAGAGAGAGAGAGAGAGAGAGAGAGAGATGTAGAATTAGGACAAGGAACCAGTTACGTTTATTCATCTCTAAGAAGGAGAGGCTTGTGTGTGTGCACAGTCATTAACTCTCCCCAGCAGCTAAGGCTTACAAAGCTTAGAACCCATTATAGAAGCCTGGTGAGTTGGAGAGATTTAAAAGGTTAATCTTTTTTTATAGGAAGGTAAAGGACATGGTTGCTGTAAACGTTTTTTTCCACATGCTCACTTTCTGTCCCCTGGTCAGGAAAACTGAGTTTGACCTGCTTAAGGATATCAACAAAACAGGGTAATGTGAAACACTGATAAGTGGGTGAGTGTCGACCTGAACCTGAACCTGAACCACAGCACTTCCCAGTCATGTCTGACTGGATCTTGGCGACAGTTGCACACACAGAACCCAAACCAGGGAACGAAAAAGATGTAAAGAGTCTCTTGTGTAATTAGAAAGTACCACTGAGTGGATCAACACTCTAAGTTCTGGACAGATTTTAATATAAAGAGCCTCCAGGAGAAAACACAATTCTGGAAAACAGAAGGTATGATCTTTGCTTTCCTAGACCCACTGTGGTTATTACTCGGTTACTTGGTAACTGTTTTTAGCTTCCCCAAACTCTTCAGACAATTGAAAATCTACCAGAAAGGCCCAAAAGAGTTAACAGGAAGAGACAATTTTGCATAGGTTGTTTCTACTCTTGGGTATTGCTTCTCATGCCCCCAAGTATTTCAGATGAGAGATACTCGCCCTGCACCATCTCCATTTCATAGATGAGGTATCTGAAGTTCAAAGGAGTTCATTTGGTTTGTTCAAAGTCGCTGCAACAATGGTCCTAGGACTGCCGTCCAAACCTCTCCCAAGGTTCTTCATGTGATGAGTCACTACAAGACCAAATAAACAAAAACAGATAGTTAAGAGCACTTGTTGCAAAAAGAAAAAAAAAGCACTTGTTGCTCTTGCATAGGACCCAGGTTTGATTCCCAGCACAACTGTCTATAACTCCAGTCTCAGGGGATCTGACATCCTCTTTTGATCTCTGAGGGCACCTGGCACATACATACATGTAAACAAACCCCTCACAGACATAAAATAATAGAATCAATACCTCTAAACGTATTAAAAATAGAAACAGGTGGGGCACAGCAAGCTTCTACAAAAGAAGTAATGCTGGCCACTTCCTCCTCCAGGTTCCCTTAGCTTCCTGAAAACGCTAGAGTATTGGGGTTTTTCCTTTTACATTGTTGTTGTTGTTGTTGTTGTTTAATCTGTGTGTGTGTGTGTGTGTGTGTGTGTGTGTGTGTGTGTGTGTGTGTGTGTTGTGTAAGTGCATGCACCACTGTGTGCATATGGAGGTCAGGGACAAATTGCTGAAGTTGGTTCTCTCCACTCTGTGGGTTCCAGGGATTGAACTCAGGTCCTCGGGGTTTACCTGTTGAGTCATCTTGATAGCCCCTTGAAGATGTTTTTAAGTTTTTTTTCAAATGTGTGTGTGTATCTTCCTGTATGTGTCTGCTGTGTGTATGCCTGGTGCTCAGTGAGACAGAAGAGGGCATCAGATCCCCTGGAACTGCAGTTACAGTTGGTTGCGAACCACCATATGGATGCTGGGAACTGAACTCAAGTTCTCTACAAGAACAGCCAGTGCTCTTAACCACTGAGCCATTAGATTTGTTTTGTTTAGTTTTGTTTTGCATGCAGCGTAGGGGTGGACAGATTCATTGTATATCTTATTTTAGCCTCAAATTCATGTAACTGAGTCTGGCCTTGAACTAATTTCCCTGCCTCCACCTTCCAAGTACTGGAATTATAAGCATTACACCACCCATTTCCTGACTTATTTTAAATGCCCTTGTCTCAAACAAACAATACTGTCTTCAGATTCTGGCTTGAAAGCCACACGACGAACATTAAAGGTCACAGAATGGGGTGGATGTGGTGGTACACACCTGTCATTCAAGCACTTGAAAGGTAGAGGCAGGAGGGTCAGGAGTTCAAATTTATCCTTGGCAACATATTGATAACAAGTTAAAAGCCAACCTGGGATACATAAAAGCGGTCTCAAAAATAAATGTGCATGCTTCATAGGGTTGCTGAGGAGAGCAAGGGAAACACTGAACACAAAGCATTCCTAACACAATGCATGGAAAGAGTCAGCAACGAATAAGTGCTAGTTATTATTAGTATTCTGTGAACTGACACTTTTGCATGTCTATGATTCTCTGAAGACTACAGTTCTTGTCTTATCTGATGATTATCTGAAAGCATTTCAAGAGCCCAGATTAATCAGAGAAAGACAGATTGAATCATATTTAGTCATATTCTGTTAGACTTATTTCATTGTATTCTAATTCTTTGAGAATTAAGACTTCATCTGCATCAGTCAGGGTTCTGCCAGGAGACAGATGGTATGCTCAAATTAGCGTAATTAGTAGAAAATTTAACAAAAGGACTATCTACAAAGGTGTTGGCAGAAGAGTAAAGCCAAGAGAGGGAGGCAGTGCAATAACTTAGGGCTGTTTCCATCCTCCATCCAAAATGAGAGAAAGAACATTCACCACTTAAGAAGAGATCTAACATTCAGTTCAGGGACGATAGCCAGCCTGAGGCACTCCTGCAAGGAGAAAGGCAAGAAGAAACAAGATGGCCACAGTTCGCTGCCAGTGATTCCGTAGCTCAAACTGTCCAGAAGCCAAAGGGAAAGACTCAGTGGTGTATATCCTTACTTCCTGGCATACAGGACAGGGTGGAAAGGGTTGGAAAGGGTAAGCAGAAAATTGATGATAGGTATATATATGGTCAATCAAAATGTACCCAAACCGGAAGACTGCATCCCTCTGACCAATCAAGAGAGAACAGAGTACTATTTTGTACAAAGCTAAACCCAACTAGTTTATCACTCACTACACAAGGAGCAATAGCTTCTGGGGAATCACCCCTTTGGGAATTCTGTAATAATCTAAAACTCAAGGCACCATGATGTAACTGGCTTGTGTATACTTATCAAACCAACCAGATACACGTCTTTTTTCACCAATCACGCGTGGTGTGTGTGTGTGTGTGTGTGTGTGTGTGTGTGTGTGTGTGTGTGTGTGTGTGTGTGCAGGTGTAGGCATATGTGTCAGCATGTGTGTGGAGGTCAGAGGACAACCTTAGGTACTGGTCTTTGCCTTCTGTCTTGTTTGAGACAGGGACTCTTTGTTATTCAACACTTTATAAGCAAGGCTATCTGACCAGCAAGCTTCTGGGGGTTCTCTTGTCTGTGTCTCCCGTTTCCCCATAAAACTGCAGGAGTTACAGATAGGTATACTACTATGTCAGGCTTTAGGTGGGTTCTGGGGATCCGAACTCAGTTCCTCACGCTTGTACAGCAAGTGCTCTACCCACTAAGCCATCCCCCCAGCCCTCAGAGACACTCAGTGGCAGGAACTTTCTAGAATTCCTTGTCTTCATATTGTCTTCACTTCCCTTTTCTCATTAATAAGGCCAAATATTTTCAATGTAGTACTTTTTTTTCATTTTATTTTATGTGTACGAGTATTTTGCCCACATGTAAGTGGACCATGTATATGCAATTCTCTCAAAGGCCAAGAAAGGGCATCAGATGCCCTTGGGCTGAAGTTAATAGCTGTTTGTGAACTGTCATGTGAGTGCTGGGACATGAACCCAGCTACTCTGGAAGAGAATGTATTACATTTAATAACTATACAATAAATGTCTGAAGAATGGTGATGTAGAAAGATTCCCAGCACCCACATCACGGTGTCTCGAAACCATCTGTTAACTAGGGGATCTGATGCTCTGTTCTGGCCTCTGTGAGTACCAGGCATAAAAGTGGGGCACAGACATACATGCAAGCAAAACATTTACACACGTTAGAAGAAAAAAGTCTCCAGGAAAACTTGTTCCATTTAGGTAAATGACCAGAACCTGCGTGCTCTAGAAGAGCAGAAAAGCCTTTTGATAGCAGATTAAACTGGGAAATCTGTCCCTTCTCCGCGGTGTCATCGGTACCAAATACCCATGTCTAGCCACACTTGACAGTGGTCAAACAGGATGAGTATGCCTTGGACCTCCTACACAGAGATGTATCTGCAAGATCAAAAGGAAACTTCCACCTGCACTCCTCAGTAGAGCAAGACCCAAGAGATGATACTAGTTGGCACTCCACTTTTTCCTAGGGCTGTTTCAGTGCAGCCATATTTACTGGTCAGCAAGAGGCAGAATAGGCTAAGAATCCATTTCCTATTTTCCTACTTAGCATTTGGAGGGTGCCTAGCAAGGAGCTAAACTTCCACACAACACACAATGCGCAATGCACAACACACACACACACACACACACACACACACACACACACACACACACACGCACGCATACACTCAGAGTGGGGAGGGCAGGGAGGTATTGATTCCAGATGATTCTCCTATATCCACCTCCTATCTCACTGGAAGAGGAGGAGGAAACAGAATTTAGAATCTCCTGACAATACCTCCAACATCCAAAATGCAACAGAAAACACTCACTATATAAAAAGGCATGTAAATCTCAACTTTCATGAGAAAAGGAAATCAATGTCAACACTGAGATGACACAGATGCTAGAATTTTCTGTTGACAATTTAAAAGCATACATTATGAAAATGTTAACCATCATCCGGGTGTGGTGGCACACGCCTTTAAACCCAGCACTCGGGAGGTAGAGGCAGGTGGATCTCTGTGAATTCAAAGCCAGCATGGTCTACAAAGTGAGTTCCAGGATAGGATCCAAGGCTACACAGAGAAACCCTGTCTTGAAAAAAAAAAACTGTTAACAATCAAATGTATAAAAAATGATGGTCTTGCACAAAATTAATCCCAGCACTCAGGAGGCAGAGGCAGGTGGACTTCTGTGAGTTCAAGGTCAGCCTGGTCTGCATAGTGAGTTCCAGGACAGCCAAAGATACATAGTGAGACCCTGTCTCAACATAAAAAAAAGAAAGAAAAAAAAAGAAAACGAAAGAAAAATCTCAGCAGAGATAGAAGATATTAAAAGAGCCAAATAGAAATTTTACAATTAAAAATAGAATGTAAAACTCATTGTCTATAGAAGAATAAATCACTGAACTTGAAACAAATCAATATAAATGATCAAATCCGAATAATAAGGGAGACTAAAAAAGAAACTACCATTAAATAAATAAATAAAATCCTGTCCTGTGAAACAACAAATAAAGGAAGTAACAGTCATATGATTGGTGTTCCAAAAGAGGGGCCGTGGTAACAGGGTAACAGCTTAGTTAACAAAGTGCTTCTACACAAGAGGACTTGATTTCAGTCCCAGAACACATGTGAAAAAGACAGGTACGATGGTGATCAGCCCCTGTAACCCCAAAACTGAGGAGTCAGAGATGGAAGGTTCCATGGGGCTCACTGGCTAGCTAGCCGAGAGTAATCAATGAGTTCTAGGCATAGTGAAAGACCTCCAGAAATAAGGTGGGTGGCATCTGAGGAACAACTCCTGAGATTGGCCTATACACTCACATCCCATCCCATCCACATCCCATCCCATCCACATCCACATCCCATCCACATCCACATCCACATCCCATCCACATCCACATCCACATCCCATCCACATCCACATCCACATCCACATCCACATCCACATCCCATCCACATCCACATCACGAAAAGGGAAAGGAGGACTAAATGGGGTGAAAGACTGTGGAGCTGAAAAGCATTTAAAAATGAATGACCAAAATATCCCCATGTAAAAATGTTGATACAAGCAGACTGTGATAGTACATTGATGTTATCATGTAATAATCAGAACACTAGCACATCTCTCCAAGGGTTAGAAAGATGGCTTAGCTGTGTGCTGCGTTTGCAGTTGAGTCTAGTTC